ATGCTGGCTAACAGCACTTACAACATAACTTACAAACAGGGGCAATGTCTACAGCTCATTACTAGATCTTCAAAAACGCCAGATACCACATAATTAAGCACTTTATGAAGACAATGAGTTTTTGACGGCTAGCCCCCAACCTACTCTCTGAGAGATCTTATACTTGTGGTGTTCTCAGTGAAATCAGTTCTGATGTGTTGATGGGGTCCAATATCTACCTGGGGAAGTTTCATTTCTCGTTGGTGTACACCTTCTGCTTGTTGTGGATTGATATGGGAAATATTGGATAATAGCATACACCTGATTCTTGATCGAGGTGAAGGGCTTGTCTGTGCCGAGGTAATTTATATGGCTGGTAATTCAGCTTCATAAAGGCAACTCGGCTGGTCCAGATGGTGAGACTTGTGCTGGATAGTGTTACTGATACTAATACAAAGAAGATGCAAATGAAGACACACTCTGAAAGCGATTAATGCAAATTCAGAGATTCTAGAAATTTTTAAAGTTTCTGTCCCTGTCTCCCCTCCTCAGATTTGTACTGCACGTTAGAGGTGGATTCTTTTGGGTATTTTGTGAACAAGGCTAAAACTAGAGTTTACAGAGATACTACAGAGCCCAACTGGAATGAGGTAGGTTGGAGTTTTCTTAATGTGACTTGTTCCATGCGCCAAACGTCAATGCATGATGTACTGAAAACCCGCAAATGGAAGAACTTGCTGCATGCTCAGCATTTGTGCTGCATATGCTGCCTTTCAGAATACACTTTTCTGCATGTTCATTTGGCTGTCAGGGCTTGCAGAAGATTTTCTCTTGGGTTAGCTATGGTTAAGCAAACATTTCAATACAAAGAAGTCTTGTCCAGCATTTCATCATTTAAACAGATGCATGCTTGATTGTTTTTTGGGTTTTTTTTAACACATAAGTGAAAATATGTTGAAGAAGGAGGTATTTTTGGTTTTTTGTTGCGAGGGGGAAGAATTAGCTATAGACATCTTGCCTGTTTACAGCCAACTCAAACCTGCTGGGGAGCAAAATTAAATACAAGGAAGGTGGGCGAGTTTGTTTCTTTGAATGATGCTTTGCTGAAACTCTGTGAAACCTGTCTCAGATGGTTGACTCTTTAGTCTCTGATTTGACCACTTTATATATACAAAATACAATTTCAGTTTATTTCTAGACCAACTCCATTAGGGAGGAGGTTTTGGTCAGTCCTTAAGTGCTCCCTCCTGATGAGTTTTAAGGTGACTATGTTGATTATTAAGAGACTACTGTCCTGCTGTGGTGTATTCATTGCTCTTTTCTTTCCTGGTGCCCTGCAGGAGTTTGAGATTGAGCTGGAAGGTTCACAAACTCTGCGGATTCTGTGCTATGAAAAGTGCTACAACAAAACCAAGCTCACCAAAGAGGACGGAGAGAGCACGGATCGCATAATGGGGAAAGGACAGATCCAGGTGAGA